GGCGCTGACCAACATCGAGGAAAAAGGCGCTGCTGCGACCGCGCAAGGCGGAAAGGGTCACGGCAAGAGCACCAAAAGTTGAGGTGTCAACGCTTAAAGCTGCATGAAATTTGTCCAAAAACAAAGCTCTTTAAAATGATAGGAAAATCTAGAAGCACTGGACAAAGGCAGAACAAACGACACAGCTTTGTGCTTAAAAAAAATGACACAGGTTTTTGGAACGATACATTAAATAGCGTCCACATTGAAAAAAATTAACCAACTAAAAATTTCCGAAATTTTACAAAATTGACGACGACTAAGAGAGAGAGACATTAGATATAACATAAAAGTGAGAGAGAGTGAGCGATCTAACAGCGAAACAATCAAATTTGCTGAAACTAGACAACTTAACGAGCCAAAACTAAACAAAAATAAAAAAAACTGTTAATCGAAATTCCTTAATTGAAATCTACCAAGCACAGAAATCAGCTTGCACTAGAATTTTTTAAGGAAAAGAGAGAGAGAGATACCAAACTACCTTCTAATTTTGTAACGAGTGGGAGGGACAGAGACAAAAGCGACAATAAAATAAAGTTTCAATATCCTTGGCCTATAAGCTTTGGATTAAAATTTTCATTTAAGTATAGAGGGAGATGACTACACCAATACCAGTAACAAAATTAAACCGCTATTACTAACAGCACATTATTCTAACCACCAACCCATTTCGATCAAAGAGAAATTCGAAAAATTTTAACGAAACATTTGACTTCCGCAAGCAAATCAAAAAAAAAATAAATTAAAACCTTTGCACAACCATTGAAGGCATTTATTTTTTTTTTAAATTACGTGTTAAACTGTTCTGTAATAATTGTGCGCAATCCCGATTTCGTAAGTGTCCAAACAGTATGTTGCATCCTGTGTACTAAATATGTTTTCCCGTTTTCTTCTGCACCAAATATGAGAGCTTTACTATAAGTTTGTGTGTTAGCAAAAATAAAATAAAATAATAATAAAAACATATTTTATTAAAATAAAAAACATTAAATGTAATTTTAACTACTATCACTGCACTGCACAAAATGCATTGTGAATTTTGACCCTGTCATAGTTAATAAGTTTTCTTTTTTATTTGAGTGAGAAAAAAAATTTAGAAACTTGTAAAAAAAAAATGTTTATAAAAATTGTAAAACCAACAGTGAAGACATTACAAGATTTTTATAACAAAAAATGTATCATTAAATCAATTCGTAAGCACTACGTCGATAAATTGATTTAAAAAGGGTTTAGCGAATTCATGGAAGATGACAAATCTGTGAGCTTACATTTTAAATAATGTAATGTTGGACATAATGATACACTCAGAACTGTAACAACAAATAAAAACAACTTAGAAAACACCAAAGCCCATGTTTTATTTTTTTACCGGGTCCGCTAAAATCAGTAAGATTTTCCAATGTCGTCGTCGAGGGTCTACAAAGAATTTGAATTTTTCGAGTTTAATCATTCAAAATTCGGAGTGCAAATCATTATCACGAGCGCTGACCAATATAAAAAAAAAATATAATTAATTAAAAATAGAGATATGCACAGCGACATTCAGTAATTTGGTGACCTCCACTAACCACAACACCTCTCTCAGTCTCGCAATCCCTAGAAAGTTTAGCAGAGCTTCTGAACCTAGGCGTATTTGTTCTAATCCTTTGGCCACATTGGGCCCAGACTTTCAATAGGTGCAGTGGTGTCTCCTTAGCCGAGTCGCAAAGGCGAAAGAGGTATTTTACTAGATTTCTAGCTGGTAAAGATGTCCTCTTGGTCAGCAGTGTCCCGTGAGGATGCCCGTAAAAATCCTCCGGTTCACCTTAGGCACGTTAATAAGAAGTCTGTTTATTTTTGGTTTATATCCCCTATTAGTCTTTTGGCTTAGCAAAGTTCCGTGGTGCTTACCAATTTTGTTCTCCCGTTCTTACTACTCCTCTTTTCCTTGATCTGTCCGCTACGTCATTTACTTCCCTTACACTGTGGTCTGGGTAACAGCTGGCTTACTTCGAATGCTTATTGGACACACCAAATCAGCAGACATACGTTTTGGCGAACATCAGTTCCGTACGGTGGTTACTTCTGCAGCGGTCCGTCGAAATTTCCTGACAAAAGCTGCTGTACTAAAGTGATACCGGGAATCTCACCCATCAGGCATATCCAGCGGAAGAAGAGGGAAGGAAGTATGATGTCCTGAAACTTCAACTCTGGCGTGAAAAAGTTTTTGGTCATCCGTGTGTCCAATCCCACGAAACATCACGTCAGTTCACACTGCGCATTCTTTGGTGAATAAGGTAAAATGTCGTATGGTCAGAAACACCTAGGCTCTACTTTAACCAGCGAAGTGCAAGCGGCCATCGGGGAGACAAAAGCCTCCAAAGCAGAGACCAAAAATAACTGTTATCTCGAATTGACAAATTGAAAACGTTGCACGAATTCTGAAGTTTAACGAAAACGTTATTTCGCACACAGTTATTAGATGAAAAATATTTTTTATTTCGCGATAAGAGTTATTTTCCAACGTTATTTTTTACTTTGCTTGATAACAGTTATTGCCCAACGTTTATTATTTACGTTGCTTGATAACAGTTATTGCCTAACGTGTTTTTTTTACGTTGCAGTTATTATCCAACGTTTATTTTTATGTTGTATGATAAACGTTGTAAGATAAGAATATTGATGAAAACAGAGATGGAGAAAAAGGTAAAAATGATGAAAATAGAAGAGTGAAATAACAGACAACATAAAAATAAACGTTGGGTAATAATTTTTTCCCGACAACGTGAAAATAAACGTTGGAAAATAACTCTTATTGGCGACGAAAAACATATTTCACCTACATAACAGTTATCAGGCAACGTAAAGTCGAATTAAAAAATATTTCTCATCTAATAACTGTTATTTAACAACGTTTTTCCGATGAAACTTATAACTGTTATGTCCCTGCTCCAAAGTCATTGGTCGTACGGCCGTGCATTTCGATTCTAAACCACATAAGTCCAGCTGGTGTAGGCAACCTCACACGAAACCAACCACCTCTTTGATTCCACTCTTAAGTCCACTCAACTATAACCATTTTCCTTTTAGCTTGACGACAACAGAACAGAATAGAACAGAAACCAATATCACAGGGCTGCGAAATTTTACTTTTTTCTTCCCCCTCAAATAATTATGTTATTTTTTTTTAAATATCTAGGTACTTTAAATTAACCCAAATCGACCCCGTTTCGCCATATGGCAACGCAAAATAAATCATCTATGGTGTAAAACAAAAACCGCTCACTTGCTAGGTTAGGTAAGGCTAATCTGGCCGGCGTTAAGCTGCACATAGACCGGTAGGAGCTCATTTACGCGTCAAAGTAGACATCACAAAGTCAAGTTTCAGTTCTACTTTTGAAATGTTCTCTAACTTCTCGAATTAATAGGCTTTGAAGCATTTTAATCGTGTTTTTGATAGTGCAGGACATCGGCAGAAAACATGTGTCACGGTTTCCTGCACCTGATTATACTATTGATATCCTTATTTGTGCATGAGCGGCCACCAATATATTTCCCGTAAGCAATGCGGTAATAACTCTGCAAACTTTCGTTTGCACATTGCTTCGAGTCCCGGAAACTTCTCCATTGCGGCATTCCTCCACACCAATGCATTAGGGCAGAATGAAGGGCGTTACTGACCTTCTTTACCTTTTCGTCAACATTGCGCTTTCACAGCAGTATACAATCCAAGACTACTCCCAAATACTTTATTTGATCTGTAATTGACAGCTTGATGCTACCTAGCCTCGGGGGGTCTGCACACTGGGACCTTATATCTTCTTGTGAAAAAACCACTAACCCATTCAAATTGACAAAAATCGTCGTTGTGCTTCTTTTCCTATCAAAAATTTACTCCTGTATGCCTTTTGAACGTAGAATACGCATATATTATTAATAAATGCATTAAAACTTATAAATAATGATTTTAATATTTCCCATGTTAACCAAAAACTGTCTCCTCACGATACATTCTGAATACGGCCCCGTGTTGCCATATAGCAGGCGTTCCCAAACTTTTTTCACCGCGCCACCCTTGTTGTGCTAAAAAAATTTCGAGGCACCCGCACTCTTCAAAAAAAAAAATACAAGAAAACACAATGCACACTTTTTGCCCCTTTAGCTTTAATGTAAGGACTGGAATTGTTTTGATGATTTCATTATTTCCTTTAAGTTTATTGGGACCTTTGACAATTTTACCCTGAAATCATTCTACGCTGAAAGCTTGCTAGTGTATTTGTTTTTAACCGACTTCCAAAATGTAGAAGGTTATCAATTCGTCGGAATACTAAAAAAAATGTATATATGTTACCGCATAACTATGGACCAGGTTAACCGATTAACCGGCTTGACAAAGCAAGCGAAATGCCCTTGTGTATGAAAAGTTTAAAGAATTTGCCCGCACTAGTATGCTCTAGCCACTAACGGCACCCCAGGCATACGCTGGCGGCACCCCAGGGTGCCGCGTCACCCACTTTGGGAAAGCCTGCCATATGGCAACGACCGATATCGGACGAACTATACTACTCCCAAACATTTAGTCATATTTTTTCCTTTACTTTAAAGCTATTTTTACCCTGTTATATACAGAAGAAAGCAAAAAAATTAAACAAAATAAACAAATGGTTACAAACCGGTTTTTGCGTATACGCACGTATACAAACAGATCTGCAACTTCTAATCAGATTTTTTTGAAAAATTCCAGGTATGCAGTTTTAATAAAGTGCATGTTTGAAGTTGCTAGAAAATCACGTAGATTTTTGGCGATTAATCATAATTAGATGCAAACTTTAACTTTTACCTCAGTCCCGAAAGCAGTTATTGATTCAATAATAAGTCCTTGATATGTTAAAAATCCCCGATAGTTCCATTAAAAACGGGTTGACAGACTTAGAACTACTTTCGATAAAATTTTGTAATGATGGGCTTGATGACAGGAAAGCTACTTTAAGAACAATTAAACAAATTTATTGGGAAATGCTAACGTTAGATAACCAAATAAATGTTAAAAAATTGCAGGTTTAAAAATATGACAAAACCTTTCTTCGAGCAGTACCTATGAGCGGCATGCACTATTTCCACCGCTCCTCAAATTTGTTTTACCGCATTCCATTTTTCATTGTATCGTTCTTGTGTCAATAAAATTCGCTTAATATTTTCACAATCCTCAGGTTTTGGCAATACAATGGCCACATAGCCTTCGCCTTCGGCAGCAGTTTCCAATCCTTTTGGTTCGTCAACCCATTTTGTGTTTACTTCAACTAGTTTGCTTTGTACACAACTGGGTATCTTATAGGTTTTGTCCTGCTCTGTGGTCAGTATTGCTAATGTTGAGTCATGCTGCAGCACCATACCGCCCTTCTTACCTTTTCCTTTCACCGTATTTTTGCTGCGATCCGTATTTCCAATATCAAAGGTCAATGATTTAATGCCCGCTTTTAATGCTGGATGTTCCGGAGCTAAGCAAATTAAGCAAACACGATTTGAATGAAAGAGTACTTGATAAGGCGCTGGTTCTGCGCCTTCTTTGATGTAATAGTAGCGTGTAAAAAAACGGTCAACGACACTGGGGTAATTTTCAACCCAATCATCAGTTATGGGCGGCACTTTAATGCCGCCAATGATTTGGGGATCGTGTTCATAGTAGTAGGGTAGCAGTGGATCTGTCGGGTTCATGAATATTGGGATGGTGGTGTATTTTGATGTGTAAGGACGCAGACGGCTATGAAGAAACCAAACGTTCCCTTATGCGCGCTTGTCGTTCCGCCGCTTTGACGCGATTAGCTGCAGCACGAGCCTGACGTTCACGGTTGAGGCACTTCACTAGTTGAGAATCAATGTCGTTGCAGACTCCCAAAAACTTGCTGAATTTGTTCTGAAGACATATTTGTTGATAATTATATAAGCAACTAAAAGCATTAAATACATGGAACTGAATATTTATTTACCTCTGAGTGACAATTATTGAGCTGCTCGATTAGTTGATTGCATTCGGATGTATGCAGGTGAGGCGATAGATCCGTATGCATGCTTTCCGAACAGAATCAATAACAAAACAATCTGCACTTTTTGGTTGCTTTCTGGCAAATTGAAATGTCAATTATAATTGATTAGAGATGCCAACTTTTCTGCCAAGCGCAAATGAAGGTAAATAATGCAGCGTTTTTGCTGCATTTAAAATGCAACATTTCGAACATATGTTTTCGAAGAGCGTTCATGCTATCGCATTTAGCAAATGTACATTTACGCGAGTTCGAAATCGTATGCTTTTGNAAGGTGGTGTTACTAGCTCAGCTGATTTTGTGTATGTGTTTCGCCGCACGGCTTCTGATATCAAATTGAAAAATTTTGTTTGAATTTCTACACACACTCTTACAGATTTTGACAGTTTATGCCGCCAAAGCAAAAACAAAATACATGTAAATTTTTGTTTTTGTACTCCTGCTATCACCTTATATTAATTCGCCTTGGTTGCATTTAGGTGACGAATTTTGTATGGATAAATGTACATTTAGAGTAGCATTTTGAGGTAAATGCGCTAAATGTGATTTTACGCGTAAGCAAAAACAGCCCATAAAATCGAGGATATCCTTTTTAAGGAGCCCAGCCAGAGGCAAAATAAATTTAACAGAACTTTTCTCATCAAGGTGAATGGACCAACACTTTGTGTTAAACAACGAAATGCCCAAGGCTTTTTGCGTTCATGTTGAGTAAATTTTTATTCTTTAAATTGGTTGATTACTTAAAATAAATGCTTGCATAGAAGTCGAAATTATTCTGAGGTTTATTT